GGACTATCTACTGCTGAGGCTCGCTTAGCTTGAGTGGAGTCGCCACAACAGTAATACCCTCGCCTCGCATTCTCATGGCCTCGCCATATCTTGGAGATTTCGAAATTTCGGCCCGAACGGAAGCCACAAAGGGTACACGTGTGCACACAAAAGGAAGATTAATCATTGAATGTCGAGTATTTGAATAGCGTTTGTGTAAACTAATTCATGCTTGATCGGCCAAGTGCGTGCGCGCGCATGGGTGTGTGTGTGTGCGCGCGTGCGCACACACACACACACACACACACACACATTTATTTTATTTTTTTTTTTTCCGGAATTTTCAGAAAAGTCCACTTTCATCTCTGTAGAATACAATACAATACATCCTGATTTATATAGCGCTTTCACAACAGCTGCAGCTGTAACAAAGCGCTGTTATGTAACAACCCAAGACCTACAAAAAAAGTCTCATATGCGAAAGCTAACAGGATGTTTGCGATTTTTAATTTTCTTTCAGGTTTGGAACCTTTTTGGCCTTTTATAGAGTTCATATTTTTTAAAAAGTCCTCCAAGAGGTTTTACCTGATTGTCTTGAAACTGTGGGTTTCTTTCAAACTAAGATGATCTTGACAACAGGGAAAGCAAGTCTTTTTATTTTGCTAAACACCGTTGCCTTGGCAACGTACTGTATGCCAACAAAAATGATATTGAGCCTTACTCAAAATTCAGAAGGAATTCGGCCATTTTTAATTTCCTTTCAAGTTTCGCCTCATTTTTGGCCTTTTATAGAGGTAAGGTTTTTTTCAAAATAGCATGAATGTGATGTACTTCAATTTTTAAAAAAATCCAAATCCAACGTGCCAGTATCCCAACGTGCACAAATTTTCAATGAAGCAGGGTTGGTTGTACGTGTCAGCAAGATCCATTAAATTTTGGAGGTGTTATACAATCAGAGATGAAAGTCCTCCGGATTTTCCCGGAATTCCGGGTTTTTCAAATTTTTATGAAAATTTCTCCGGAGAATTGAGGAAAATTTGCATAATTTTAGAAACGTCTTTGGGAGTGAATGGGTTAACTGCCTTATATTATTGATCGAAACAAAAATATAAAAAAATACAAGAACACCTAAGATGAGACTGCTAATGTAAAGCAGTTACATATTCCGTTCCCATTGTAAAACTGAAGTAGGAATCCTCTAAGAATCAGCAAACAGCAGCGTGTCTCACCACCTGCTTCCTTATGTACTGTATTTGTACAAATGAAGTCTTCCCTTCAAAGAGACACCTTGCTTCACATTGATTGACTCTCTGCAGTTGGGTTAAACGCCCTCAGCTAATATCTGAGGAAATATTGAATCAATCATAAATTGCAGACAAAACTGTCATCTTAATTTTGTAGTAATAATTGAATGTCTGTGTTGTGCAGTCAGAGGGCTTTTTAAAGGACAACAGCAATGCAGCGCAGCGTCTTTTGGATGGAGTGAATTTGGTGGCCCAGTCTGTATCGGAGCTCAGTGTCAAGCCTGCTAAGGCCGTCACCTCCTGGCTGACAGACCAGAGTAGAAATTCAAATCAACATTGCAACGTAATAGAGTGCAATTTTCATTCCAATAGCTGAAACTTGAAAAAGAAAAAGAAAACACATCTGCTTAATCTTGGTTGGTCATCAGTCTTTATTTTTTATATATGTGTATATGTATGTCTATTTATTTCTATAGTGTCTAGAGAGGTTTAATGCTTAAGAAGTGCAGTCCACATGTTTACGTCTCATTGTTGCTTGAAACATGAAAAGTTGAATAGAGCCACATACAGTATTTTGGAGGTGTTATACAATACAATACAATACATCCTGATTTATATAGCGCTTTCACAACAGCTGCAGCTGTAACAAAGTGCTGTTATGTAACAACCCACGACCTACAAAAAAAGTCTCATATGCGAAGATGTATGCTTTGAGCAGAGAGCCTTACATGCAGGTACAGTCGCGCTCACCTCACTGTTTTCCTCGGACAGTGAGTGCACCTCATGAAGCATTTTGTCATCATGCAGCTCATGAGGAGGAGGAGGAGGAAGGCGGAACACTCGCCAGGAAGGTTGGCGAGGCAGTGACCAACACCATAGGGGTTGTCGTCACCGCTATTGACATCCCACTTGGTGAGTGTTTCCCAAAGCAAAACCTTGAGAGGATTGTTGTGTAATAGGAGTAAGTCACTCTGTCAACGTTGCCGTATGAATGCATTGCCCTCTGGTGGCAGAGGCAAATCGTCTTTACAGTCATGGTGTGGGATCCTTTTCCAGCTTCATCGCTCATGACCAGCCTGCAAACCTGCACCGATAAGAAATTTAAGATGTCATTACTCCTAACTTGTGATGAAGAGACCATATTTTCTGTGCTTTTTCGGTTAAAATGTCCCAAATGTCAACACTTATCTTTGAAGATTTGATGGCGCCTGCATGGCATCATTGCTCAACCGCTGCCATTTAACATTCAGCTCTGTCATTAATTTGCGCAGTCTTATTGGAATTGAGAGATTCAGCAGATGCTCAATAGCTTCGTTAATTTCATTTTAAGGGCCCTCGTTTCAAATTCACTCTCATTGTACATAATTTAAATGTCACTCAGAGTGGTCGTTCTAAATGCAACAATCATGCAACGATTTCATGTAGTGGATTACATGAGAGGGTTTGTTGTTTTGAATTTCCAACAGGAAACATCCCATGGCAATAAATAATGTCCGATTGCTCTTGTACACTCACCAGCCATTTCCTTAGGTAACACTTTTACAATTTAAATCATAAATACATTTTATCAAATACGATAAATATCCACTGCAATTCTACACTAATGCACCTCAAAATCACCATATGAGACCAATGACTTCAGTGAATAGTGATTGAGTGCTTATAATCGTTGATATTTGTTGGTTTGTGCATTTTTGCCTTTCTACAAGTGTACCATAATCACTCCATTTGAGTGGTTGTTGAAAAAAAATGTTGGAAAAACAACAACAACAAAAACACACTGATTCGCTACCTGCTTCAGAATATAATTTCACTTTTCAATTTGGCGCACTAAGAGGACCCATGTGAAAACTATCCAAAGGCGGTTTTATAGATCCGCGTAGCTATAAAGGGGATCTTTCCACAATCAGAAATGTACTTGACAGTATTTGCTGGTGTGGTGTGTGTGTTTATATCAACAGGCCTCCAGTTACGGACCTGAAAGGCAATACATCTTCTTTACTGAACTCAATACTCTGTTGCACTTTGTCTGCAATGATAGAATGAGGACCTCAAATGAGACAGGACACAATATGGAGTGAAGTATTTCAGTATGGCAAACTGCTTCTGCTGTTCTGCCATTCCCCTCAGAGTGAGGCAGCTGTCACAGATGCTACTGTGGATGTGTGAAAAAGCTGCCACCATATGGATCGTGTCAGTGGTACGCTTTCAATAAACAAACAGTCAATAATGATAATGTATGATGAACACTCCACACAAAAAATCTAAAGATAAAAGAGGGCAAACAACAGAAAACAATAAAGGGATTTATTATGAGTCGGGGGGAGGCCTCGTACCTGCTCTGAATTTTAATTATTCTCGTTTGGCATTTCTATGCTTTGTTTTAGGAAGGCCCTCTTTTCCAGCATGACTGTGCCCGTTCCCACAGTATTAGAACCCTGACCTTAACCCAGATCAAATCAGACAATGACACAATGAAAAACAGAAAAGGGTTTTTAATCTGGAGTATGTCTTTGAACTTTTTCCCCATGCTAATATGGCCTCTCCAAAACATGCAAGTAAAATAACATGAAGTGTGAGTGAATCGTTTCTCTCGAGAGTATATGCAGTGCCATTTGCTGGCGACCAGTCAAGGGTGTACCCCGACTCCCGCCCAAATTTAGCTGGGATAGGTTCCAGCAACCATAAAAGTGCTTTAGAAAATGGACGGATGGTTCAGAACTGTGTCGCTCTGGCTGTTGGGTTACATGACAACAGCTTTTTGGAGCATGAAACCAAAATATCTCTGTGTTGTCCAGAATCTAAATCTAATTGATAGCGGTAGTTCTACCTGCTCATGTTCTTGTCGTGAATTGGTGTTTGATTAATTTATGCTCTTACGTATTAGATGTGCAGCGCAATTGAGCAAACAAGCTTTCCAGATTTACAAATGGCTGCTTCAAAACAAAATGGCTGTCTTCCTGTTCAGTTTTAGGCATGATCCTACTTTTTGTGCTTCTTATGTTATATTTAGACATGTCTATGCAGTTTTGTGTTGATCGGTGAACTTTTTGCACACACAAAATGTGTTTTTTCAGGTATATTGAGGCCCTCACAAAAAGGCAAGGAAGAGAATAAACAATGATACCAAGAGGGCCTTCGTACTAATAACATTAAAACTATCGGCATGTGCAAGGATGTCAAAACAGCAATGGCAGAACACAGCACTATAGGAGTATTTGTGTTTATACATTTCTCCAGCAAGGTGTACATATATACTGCCGATGGAGTCATATAATAACTTCCTTGACAAAATATTCATTGATGTATCATACTACATGGTCTATACAATTTTTTTCCCCCAGATTTTTTTCCTGATGTATCATACTACATATGCAGATGAAAGCTGGCCAAAGTTTCACCCTAAAGGCTTGATGTGTTGGTCGCTCTTCTATACAATTTTTTTCCCCCAGATTTTTTTCCTGAGATGGCTCCTGTTTTTAGAACTGCATGGCTGTCTGGATCATATGCTCTCATGTGCCGTGTATTGCCCACAGCCTTTTGGTCGCGCACCCCTGCATTACTATCAATATTCTGTGCTCCTTGAAGGCCTGGTGAAAGATGCCGCCCGTCCTGCCTACTGGGTGCCCGACCAGGACATTCTCTCTTGCCACATCTGCCGACGCGAATTGACTGCCAAACTGTCCAAGCACCACTGCCGCGCCTGTGGCCAAGGGGTGTGCGACGACTGCTCCCCGGAGCGTCGAGCGGTGCCGTCTCGCGGCTGGGACCACCCCGTGCGCGTATGCGCCAGCTGCAACCAAAAAGCCGGAGATCTTTAACAGAGATGATCTTCCATTACTCAGAATACTTGGACAGAACCGCTCGCTTTGTTGTCATACCTCTGCTTCTCCAGTGGTATTGTATCTGTGGAGAGGACGTGCTTAGGTATACTGTATGTAGGACACTTAACCAAATTTGGGAAGGTGAGCGTTCATGTGGCCTTTGTAGAGCAACCAGAATCTGTGAGTTACTTGACTGAGAGTGTAATATGCATTTCCACTCTTGATTATTCAATGTGTATATTGGAACTCTTATTGATACATGTCCACATGTGTATGATAGATGGCTGATGAGCTATTTTTCTACTAGGAGAAAATATTTTTTAAAAAAGTAACATTTAAAAAATACTAGGTAGTTGAGAGTGTTATTAGATTCCAGACATTCTTTTTATCAATGAGTATTGTCATAATATATGTGTAATGGCCAAGAGATGTTTGATATGCGTGCAGGTTACATTGCATGCTGTGTTCCAACTTTTTAGTTTTTGCACTAAGCTTTTCTTCAGCTGTTATAGGTTGTTGCTAACCATGGCCAAAATAACGGATGTCCAAATTTTGGATAGATCTGCCGTGCCAAGTCATTCAGGTCACTGTGTCCGTGCTGGTATGATATTTATATTTTACCAAGTCAGTTGTGGGTGTATGATGACGTAGAACTGTTTGCAGCTTGGAAATGTAGTTATGTTTGAGAATTGATGTCAAAACAAAAAACAGCTGTCTGATATGCATGACAATATATGAGAGCCTTATGGTCATTTACTTTGTTTTTTTGAGGTTGCTGTTTGAATGACTTCATCTCTTTTACCAGACAGTACGTTTAAACACCAGTACGTTTAAAAAACGTAATTTTTAACGTTATTATTGATGGCTGCTTTATTTTTGTTTTTGCTTTTTTTGTCCCTAATTCTGTCATGCTCTTTGTCCCTTAGACGTGTAATTTTTTTCCCAGTTTTTAACTGTCATTGAAAATATATTTTGCCATTTTTCCCCAACCTATATTTCTTTTCTCCATTTCACATATGTATTGTTCATCCTATGTAGACTGCCGCTCGAACAATATGAAGTGACTGAGACGTCATGTATCTTTTTTGTTTTGCATCACAACATGTCCTGTGTCACTACCTAAACGTAATGCCATGGAAGATCAACGCCTTAGAAAGGCTTGTCTTTTGTTTTAAATTTAAGTGAATGTAACAGTCGGCTACACATAGACATTAAAGGGCAAAGAAAATACGATACTGATGAATCTTTGCCCGTTAACTTCTCTGGTCCAAAAAGGCCTCCTGCATGACTTGATTTGACAATGTTGTATCGCACTCCGACATGACATAGCATTGCGCAGGATAGAATAGGAACTACATCATGTCGTATAACTGGAGTTCATTCCTTTCAAAAAAAAAATCCAATCTGTTGCTTCCCATATCTTCTGTGGTGTTTTATAAACGCGTGCATGGATGAAAATATTTGACAGAGATAAAAAGTGTCAAAACATGAAGTGGGACTCGCCCTTTGTGTCTGTAATGTGTGTTTTGGGGCGTAGTGTGTGTTAACCACTAACTGCAGTCCTATGTGGGAGGAAAACAGTGTTTGCATTCCGTGCTGCACTTTTCTCTCACCGCTGCAGGCTCCGATAAAATGAGGAAAAGCATTCCCTTCGAGCTTATTGATGATGCCACTAAATAATTAATTATTAGTTGAATGAATAATTAAACATAGCTTTCTTGTGTCCACTCTTTCACGTCGTTACGTGTTAGTGGTATGCCAAAACTAATGTGACTCACTTAAATTGTGACTCTCGAGCTACATATACTTTGCTACGCTAAGTGGTGTGAACATATATAGTGAGGGAAAACCCTTTAAAATTATTTTGACAGTTTACCACTACCAGGCCACGCCCAATGAGCACATACCGCACGTCTATTGGTCGACGAATACATCCCGAGCTCTGATAGGTCAGTTTCGATAGGTTTCCCTCAGAACTGCAAGACGCCGATATTGCATTACATTGTAGCAAAATGGCGGCTGTCATTCAGAATCCACTAAAAGCGTAAGTAATTTAGACGTTTTGTGTTAAACTGTGATTAATTAATTTGTTCCCAACTCGCGTGGTACAGCTAGCCGTTCGTGCATGCTAACCATGGTCGCGAGTGTTCGGCCGCTACGGCTGTCTAATTTCATGTTGGTGTACTTCTTGCATGGCAAAGTAGCCTCGATATAGTTGTTTTATTTTCACAAAGATTCCACCGTGTCGACTGCAAACGTGACATTACCTTGGCACAAAAGCAGCTTCTTCGGAGAATGTCGCCTTCCTCAGCTATGTAATTTTAATTTAACCCAAGCAAAGTGTCGACACGGTGACTCTCCGTTGCTTTCGAACGAACTGAGAGGCGATTACAAAAAACTCGGTTGCTTTTTGTCAAGCGACGCGGCGGAATATCAAGTGACATTCCAAGAGTGCTTTCTACTTTTGCAATTTGTCGACATGTCAACTTTGGCTTGTCGGAGCGCAGACGTGGTCAGGAGGAGGAGGAGGAGGAGGCGGCGGAGGCGGCATTTTGTGTTTGCATGCTCGTTGGCCAAATCGACCAAAGTGCCAGCACAGACAGACACTGGGGAGAAGACAAATTTCTGCCACAACATTCTGTGCAATTTTATCCATGTTCATCCCGCCAATGCTATAGTGCTCCACCTTATTTCTTTCGGTTATCCTTTGTTCACACGCATTGCCTCACTGGTGCACATAGAATCCAGAAAGCAGGTCTTTTTCTTCTTTAACTATGATGATTTGCACACTGAGTCAGTTCATCCTCCTCCTCTCCCTCCTCCTGTTCCTCCTCCTCCTCGTGCAACTAAAGCAACCGTGCTCCACTGTGCCTTTAAGTAGAGGAGTGCGAGAGATAAGCCTGGTCTGGTCCAGGATCCTGGGCCCATCTGTCAGAGAGATGCTCCAACAGGGAGGAAGTGTTGGGTAGAAGCGGGAGAACCATCTGCTCCTCCAGAAAGAGGTGTCCCTCTGGCTCTATCCTTAGTTCGGAGCTTGGTGGACCTCACCACACCTTGCCCCGTCACCATTGTTGCCAGTGCGCATTTCCTTTTTGCCCAGCCCTTTTCAACTGTTCTTGTGATTGGATTGTTCATCAAATGCATGCGGCCCACACAACATATGGGATGTGTGTCGTATTCTGCGGTTCACAACTACGGGGGAGACAAGCCCACGGTTGTAATTCAACATCTAATTTATGGTCTGTAATGTCTGTCATCTTGTTCCACGCATGTAGGTGCTGTTCTATGGTCATTCTTAGCAGGACAACCCCCACCGGTATTCCCATCGAGCAGAAAATCTCACCTAAATCTGTTTAGTGGCCTGTGCATTTATTACTAGCTGTGCAATAAGCTCTATTTTGTTGGCAGCCAAACGGCTCAAAGCAGCACTTGAGGTTAAGACCCGAACAAAACCCTATTAATACTTTCAATTTTCACATCACTTGTGTTTTTTCATGGCTAATCTTGCTGGTTTTCGAAGCACAAAATTCCCAGTGTATGTTATATTGTTATCAGGTGTCAAGGCTGAATTATATATGAGGGCCACACTTAACAGAACAATTACGAAAAAGTGTTACGAATAAAAAGTTAGATTTTATTCATGAAAAAAAAGCCTGTCACAAAGGAAAAAAAACTCGTAACATGTGTGTAAAGTAAAACTCTTAACAAAAAAATGACGTTGCAGGAATGAATTTGTGGTTAAAAAAAATCCCCAAAACAACTTGTGATGTGAGAATAAACTGTATTTTTGAGGTACAAAGTCAGTTGTATGAAGATGTTTTTCTAGAGAAAGGGCATAATAGTGTTATTACAAGAGTACTTTTTGTGAAAAAAGATGAAAAAATATGTAATATTACGACAACATAATAAAAGTCATACAAATAGTTTGTTTTGAAAAAGGTAATTTTCATAATTGTCAGTCATCACATTAAGCTGCTTGTACGTATAATAGCGTTAATGAGACAAAACTTTGTTTTTGACATTCACCGTCCTCCAGATGTTCTTAGATAATTAGTACAATTTTCCTCGTATGTACAGCATTAAAAATATTGCAAAAATATTAGTTATTGGTAAAAAGAATGCATTTTCTCACAGATTTTCAATTTTATTCTAATATATCTGAACTAATATTCCATATAAAGTTGGTATTTTACCCTTCTACTGCCCAAAGACAGCTGGGATGGGCTCCAGCACGCCCACGAACCTCGTGTGAGGATAAGCGGCTCGGATAATGGATGGATGGATGGATTGATGATTATTCCAGGTCATACTTTGTTCCTATAAACTAAATATAATGAAGGGTTTTAATCCGCTATTACAGGATTCTGGTTTATGACTTCATTTCACACTTTAGTCTGATTTATAATTAAAAGCACTTGATGCTAATTGGATGTTGCTCCAGAGAACCAGTGTCACCCTTTTCTGTATTAAGACCATTCACTTTAGGGAAATAGTTTGAAATTGGGCTGGAGAGATGGTGGGGCACCCATGATGGGAGGTCTTTGTTGATCGGAGAGGACAATCATCTCTGGAATCAGATTAATGTGAGGCTTTGAATATGAATTGAACAAAGTTAAGCTTGTCTAGATATTTTTCATGGGCACATCTTCCGACTAGAGTGAAATCACAGTGGGCAGATCCTGCCCATATGCTACATTCCAACCAAGTGATAAAACTCAAGTTTGGTTCGCTTGTTGTATGATTTGTAGCAGTAAACTCTCATCTGTTTTCTTCATGAGGTGTATCGACATTATGACTGTCGGCTTTGTAAATTGTGACATCGTAGAGTGACACAGTGTAACACAGAGGAACACACTAGCCAATGGAGGATATCACACCATGTATATTCTTTCTCGGCTTGTTGTTTACTTCAAGAAGAAGAGAAGAAGCAAATGACAATTCACCCAATGAATGTTTGAAACTATGTTGGTTTAACAACTACATCTGAAATGTTAAACCAACTTACAGATCACTTGTTTTGGCGCCCTGTAACTTTTGCTGATGAAATTTGGCACACTAATCAAAAGAACATTATAGCCATTGTGGGACTATGCTATAAGTGTGACAAACACACATTTGAATAATAGCCAAATAAAACGGCAATCTGTGTTCTGCACACAAAAACCCCAAAAAATAAATACATAAAAGTCTGTGGCAGCCATGGTAGACTGATGAGTAAGAATCCTATTGCGTCACCCGTTGGGATACAATTCACTAGCCACAAGCCAAGAGATCAGAAGAAAGATTGGTATCCACTCATGTGGTGTTACGCCATTTGTATTGTCATTGATTCAATGTCGTTTAAGAAGGCATTTAAAGGTTTCATCAGAGCTGATCTTTTTATTGGAACTTGATTGTTTGGCTGAACTACTTTTACGGTACATATAAATACAAGGGGCCCTTGATTAATGACAGTCATTCAAGGTTGTGAATGGTACTCGATGAGGTACTTTGCAAAGTGGATTAAAAATATGTTATTGCACACATATTGTGCCACATAAATTATCCAAATGTCCACAAATCAATGTGGAAAGGAGTCACTAGAAAATGTTTGGAAGAGGATGTCATCAGATTGCAGGAGAAGAAACACTTAGTTACTGCTATCGTTACCATTTTTAATTCGAAGGTTTTATATTATGGCGTGGAAGTGTTTTTCACCCAAATATTGTCATATTTGTCGGTCAGTAAGTCACATTTTTCATTTTCCTGCGACTTATACTCAGTTGTCACTTGTATTAAAATTAGAGCTCGGACTGGCACCCAGAATTCTATTTCCCTAATCATTCTTGACTTTCTGTGCATTACCTCACTTTTTTTCCCCACCAAATATTTGCCAGCTTCGAAAAGATAGTTGAAGAAGAAATGGAAGATTTAGCAGCAGTAGTAGACAAGCATTATTGCCAATGGCCACCTTCTTTATAGTACGTTCAAGAAGTTGGTAACATGTATTAACCAACTGTGGAAAAAGTGGATGAAGAAAAGGAAGCAGTATTTGTCATGGCAACAAATGTGTGATTCATGCGGCATCCTTATGCCACAACACCAAAAGGCGCAATAATTGATTAGGATTGTACTTTTTGGCCACAGTGCAATGCAGGATTCTAGTTAAGGTCAGCCATATTAAATTGAAAAGAAAAACGTTTCCGTAGTTAGAACAAAGTTTCTTCCAACTCCTTTGTTTCCGTCAACACGTTGAGAAATTCACTGTGACGCCCTAACACCACTCAGAGGGTGTGTGTGTGTGTGTTCGGAGAGTCTGAGCACAATCCCCTCCCATTAATTTCCAAACGCGACCCATGTTATACAAACCTGTTTTCATTTGTACTGCCTGGTGCACCGGACTCCGGCACTCCAATTTTGGGGCACTCTTAATAACCAAATGGCACACTTGAACAAACGCTCTGATTTTTCGAACGGTTTAAGTGAAGCAGTGCACGCTCGGAGCATATTTCCAAACGCATCCACTAATTAGGGAACAGGGATTTTGGGGGCACGTCCGAGCTATACTGTTATGTGTTTCCTTTTTTGTTCAAAAAATAAATACATAAATATTTCCATCACAATTGCATGATGCAGTGGTATGATCAACTACAGTTGGTACTGTATCGCCGAGTACTCAAATTTAAGTATTGGTACTCGGTCTGAAAAAAGTAAAATTGGTGCATCATAGATGACTAGTACTGTGCCTTGTGTACAAATTCTGGTTACGTCGCTGCCATAGGAACAGAACTTGTCATGAACCGAGGATCCCTTGTATATGCAAACAAACAATCGAAGTGGCCTTGGTGGGATACATCATGGTTATCTACAACCATGCGTACAGTATGTCAACAATCCTCTCGACTGCAGTTTATCGATCTCCACCCTCTAGCCGTCACACCTGGGGTCGCAGCCGCACTGTGGTAGAGGTAACATAGTGGTGCAAAAAAGTAGCACGGCTTAGTTCGGTTATTTTGAGAAAATTTGCATGTCATACCAATGTGAAAGGAGCTGTACTGCCGGTTA